AAACATGTTTCATGGGCTATGCTAACGATGTGCTACCAAAAAAAGATTACGATTTCAAAGGCGTCCGCGTGCAATACAGTGTAATGCTATATTTAGCAAACTTGACCCAGTTTCGGGGACCCAGGCGCATCTTGGATCAAGCATACGGCTGAGGACTTCCTTTGCACGACCGGTAACAGAATCTCAGGTGTCGGACGATCTGTCTATCTCGCACACACACAAAAGTCTCTAACTAGAAATGAAATGTAAAGAGATCAGCTGTAATGACGGCCCGGTTCGGACCTCGGACCGGATCTTGTCACTTTCACTCCATGCCACTCCTATTTATAGCAGCTTTATGTCGGTATGCCTAGAAGTGTATCCCTGCCTATCCAGTATAGGGCTAATCCGTTCGAAAAAGGGAGTCGACTTTCCGCCAATCTCGCACCCTCAACCTGTTAAGTGAGAAGGACGAATGGGGGCTGTGCTTCGCCGCAGGTGACTCCAGTTCTTGCGAGAAGATAGTAGTTCCAACTAATGCTTGAACACACTTGTGATAACCTTGACTTTTCGAACATCATCAATGAACGCCTGCCATTGCAGCCAAGCCGTGTTGAATCTGTGCGCGTCTTGCGATGCACTTGATTTCTGCAAGCTGTCTGTAAACGCCAAAAGATCTGGGTTGTCCATACTCTGGACTTCCTCGTTATCAAGTATGAGCCATAAGAGAGTACCGAGTCGCAGATTTGGTAAGGCTTGTCGACAGTCCAAAGGCCAGTCTACTTTAGGCAAGTCCACTTCTGGAAATCTCCGCTGGAAAGGGCAGGTGGAAGCCGATGTGGTTTCATGATCAGCTGGCGACTAGTCACCAGGACAGAATCTCTCACGACTCAGTTTCAATCGTAACGATATTAGCGCTGAATATTGTAGTGGCTCAGTGAAGTGAGGTGTGACGGCTCAGTAAAGTCTGCGGCTCAGTAAAGCCTTAGTGACTGAGTATACATTACCGTAAGTCACTCCCTAAGAGCTCTTTACCTGGGGTATACTGCGCAATTTGTTACTTTATGCGAAATAGCCCCTGGCTCGTAACCATGGGCCAAAAATTGGTCAATGAAAAGTTCCGCAAGGCTAAAGACCATTTTCTTCGGAAAGGCGTGCTTTTCAAGAAGACTTATGGCGCAGATATCTTCATCGTCATAAGGCGCGGTCAAACGATTTATAAAGATGAAGGCGGTGATCATCTGGGAGAATGTACTAAACTATTCGAGACTTGCCCCCGTTCCAAGAAGTTGAAATTGGTTCAGAGAAGAGAGAGGGTAGCCGATGATGTGATTGTGACAGAGGGATGATAGGCTATGTACAATACAGATCATTCCACGAACAGTACGCGAGTAGTCCACGTGACGTACATGGCATACCATTCGAGGTCCGCATCACCATGAATTTGGACGTTGCTCAATGCCGCCTGTGACGGGATAATAGGCGTCGTCTCCGTAGCAGAGATCGCGTACGTGTGGACCAATGAAAAGGCTGACCCTGTAAACATACGCAGGGGCATCCGTCCGTAACCTTTTCAGCGCAACTCTTGCGCACGGCACTCACTAATAACTACCCAACACTAACGCCATCTCAGAGAGTTTTCCCATCTTCCGTGGACGACCTGTAGCGAACTCTGTGATCCTTCGAGCGCCTCCGGAATGGAAAAATGAGTATGCACAAAGTGGGAAGTATCGATAGATCATGCCTGATGAGAGCTACAGGGCGCGTAGGACGCCTCTCTGTCTATCAACGCTTGAGGCTCAGTAAGTAGGCAACCAGTGGACCGACAATGGCGCCAGTGTGCGCTATAACAGAAGACTCAGTAAACAATACAGTGCTTGTCATCCATCAATCACAGCATCCGCTAGTAAGATAGTACAGTGCTCTATGTAAATGTTTCAAAAGGTAGGGGCGTCAGTAAAGGTGCGTGGGCCCTTGTCAGACATTTTAAGTCCCGCTTGTGGTTATTTGCGCCTGGAATGCGGACCATTCAGCATCATTCACACCTAGCAAAACGACCGCGCTACACGAGCATCATGTCTCAAGCAAGCTCGCAAGATGGTAACAAGTATCTGATCAGCCACTAGAGCACCCTTTGCTTCTCTGACACGCTCTACTAGATTCTCCCATGACACTCCACTTGTAGAAGGATAGATAATATCTAATTACTAAGTATATCTACTTTTTAAAGCTCTTATCTGCTTAGGATAGGTATAACAGTAGAAAGAGCTCTGGGTAGGTAGATGGGGGTGAGAACACGCGTGTACGAGTCCTAGCTCGTCAGGTTCTAGGAAAACGACGGATGGCAATTAACCTTGAATCAAACACGTGACCAGCTCCAGGCAGTGACAGACATACTTTATACGGGTCGCAAGTCTCTAACTCTGTTCGAGCTCTACTAATGGCTATGTGGGTCTTGCCGCTACCAGTATCCATCTATAAACGAACATTAGCCGCAGAAAGGCATAGAATGGTAGGACCGAAGCCGAAACATTTCGTTCTCCCGAGCGATATCGATCGGAGCCTCCATTTTTAGAAGAACGGATGAGAGATATTCGCCAATGCATGAGTTCTTATAGTACGGTTCGTCAGGTTTATAGAGTTATTTAAAGCAGGAAGAAATCGTCGAGGAAAGGGTGATGAGCAACAGGAGTCCTAGACAGCTGGGTGTAAACCGACAGACGAAAGCGTCGGTCGGTTGTAACACCGGGAATGTGCACCTGCTCATCCATAAGAACCCCCCATAACCACCAATCGTTACTCTTCCTTATCAACAAATGGATATGGATCCATACACAGAAGGCCTGTGCCGCTTCCGAACACATACGGCTGAGCAGAAAGCGTACAAGCATAGGCGGCAGTACCTAGGCCAACAGGCATGAGGCGTTTCCAGGGATATCTACCACTATAGGACCCCTGTTTTAGTGCATTGCTCCAAGGGATGTGCTAAATCCGCCTCAAAAATTCGCCTTGCTCGTGGATAAGTCTTGACCTAGGACATGATCAGGACAGTATCTTTATATGACCAGGTGTGAAATTGAATACCGGTCTGGACGAAAGAAAACAAAGAATGGGAACTTGAAAACGGACGTTCCCGCGTCAGTCTCGCACTAGTATTGCACCAAGATGAGAGACTCTCAAGCATGAATTTCATAATTTAATAGGCATATCTCATTTCGTTAGCCGAACACGCAGTCCGAAATTTTACGTGTCTGATAAAGCGACGGCATGCATCCCAAGCCCATGTTCTCCACCTCGCCAACCATGTCCAGATTCTCAGTCTCGCTGTTAGCCAGCAAGTTGACCAGCGCTTCGTCCCGAGGAGCGCGGAATGACACAGGGATACGACACAGTCCAGTTGCATATTTGTTTGGCTCGCTCATGGAGTCTCACCCATTCTACATATACCAGACATTGCAAGAGCATGAAAAGACGATCATTACAAACCTCAGCTGAAGGCTGCCGTAGGCTACAGCGCAATTGTCGAAGGCCCCTTCGGACAGGACCTGGACTTGAGCGGGTACGGGACATGTCAAATCGCTGGAGAGACCAAATGACGTGGTTATATGATTCTCGTCATGTAAATCTTGCGCTGACCCAAATTTACTTAGACTTGAAAATAGCGGTGCGCCCTCAATGGCCTGGAATCGGGTCTCGACCCTGCCCTACTTGTGTGCCAATAGGGACAAATATATAAGAGTCGTCTAGGCGTACGAAAACCTTCTATATAAACTTAAATTTACCGTATTTTTACGCTACTTCTTCACTCTAGACAGACTATCTACTAAACTTCAGTTCAACTGAGTCAACTTCAATTCTACTACTAGAACTGACAGCCCGGTTCAAATATACCGCGAGGTAAACTAAAGTGCTTCAGGAACTGAACTGTTTGTTTTATAGGATATTGACATGAGAAATCGAGGCTCTTACCCAACCGCAAGACGGCCCCAATGATGCTAAAATCGTCTTGAGCGCCCTTCCACATTACGGCGATCTTTAGTACCAGGAAGAAAAATGGGCCGGACCACAACCAGTACAGTGTATTTATGTCTGCTATGATTATGAGACAGCAACAGACATCGAGCGCATCATCTCCGAGATAGACTCCTGTCGAGAACAGCTGCATACGACGACCCTAGAGAGACTGGTATTGCGACTCGATCCAGCGAGCATCAGATATTGCAGTATTTCCCGGCGTGAATAAATTAGATTTAGCTGGATATCAATAAAAATCCATGTTACTGCCTGCCTTTAGTAAGTGTTAAATTGGAGAAGCAGCTTAACCAGACAGAGGACTAACCAAGGCGAGAAAGGAATACATGCGGTGTCAGGGCGTTGTTAGCAGGCATGATCATGGGAAGTGAGCATACTTTCCATGCCAATCGACTCAACTTTTTATTAGACTGCCAAATGGGAATAGTATACAACAGCTGGCGTGTAAATTATTTGTAAAGCGTGATGCTTTCATGCTGAGTCCAAGCGGTGAACCCCCGAAACGGATCGAATAGGATAGGATACTTACTAAAAGATTAACTAAAAGATAATCCCTTACGGAATTAAACTTGTAGTATAGAAAACAGAATATCGCGATCGATACAAATGGATGCATTATGGAGCTGCACTGTTATCAGTTCCATAGCGTTCTTCACAATCTTTAGCTTACCATGTGTGTCACCTCTGATTCTGGCAGCATGGTTTGTAGAGCTACTGGTAGACAGTCCCGCCTACAGATGATTGAGAGGAAGTTGCAGTGGGAGCGAGACCGCTTCTGGTCAAGCTGCCAGGCAAAATTATTCCTTGCAGCAGAGATTCAAGCCGTGGTAGAGAGCCTTCGTCAGATCCTGACTTGCCTCGGAGCGAGAGCGATCAATGGGAACCCGGACTAAATTAAGTTAATCAGAGTACATGCGTGTTGCTCAGGTCTTACTTAGCTAGACTAGACAGGACCGTCAATCAGCTTTGTCATGCTTTACTCTACAGACGTTCCCACATTGCAGTGATGAGAGCGCGCAGGAAGCTCTTCACTCTCCTGCCTAGTAAGATATGGGTCTGCGATTCCATGGCTCAGTATCCATGGCCTACCAGTTTAGCCGATACCAGGCGGCGACTTAGTGGATTTAACGGCTCAGTATCAGACGGCTCAGCATGATGACACTGTGAACTATCTGATAGTAACTCTGTTGGGCCAAGCGGCATATTCGCGGGACACTTGGGTGCCTGGCCCTGGATTGGCCCAGCTCTATACGAGTGTTACTGGAACATCTATAATAGGACATCACCTAGTAGCTTCCGGCTCCTGGATTTAAGAACACCAACTAACAACCCGGTCAAGATGCTCGTAGTCGCTGCTCTTCGAGGAGATGTGGACACCGCTGAGGAATGAATTCTTCGAGCCGCTAAGTACGGCAGTCCCGCATAACGTGTCGTGACGCCATCGTCTACCGGGCTGTACAGAAGCGATGTGCCTTGGTGCACCAAGCTGGCAAGTGGCGGAGAGGAAGAGGGAGATTAAGCAGAGAAATGCTGCGGCGTAGCGTTCGGTCCGTCATCCGGTGAAGGTGCTAATGGATGTCAGCATCAATCGATTAACAAAAGAGAACGATGGCCTCCTATCTTGACTATCATTACACAAAGCAAAGACGGCTCAAATCTGTCCAGGACCTCTTCGCGCAGAAAACATCGTTTAACTCCCTTCCAAGATCAACTTGAGAGTCCAGAGGTAGTGTGCGAGGGCACCGAACGTGGAATCAGCAATGACTGTCCGGGGGTGGACGCCCGTGATGGTAACCATGGCATCGGTGGAAACCGAGGCGATGCACTATATATGTGTAAGTAGTTGGATAGAAGCTGCATTTAAGTATATACGTACGTGATCGTTTGTCATCATTGCTCGTCTGCGTCGGAGACATAGCATTAGAATTCGGTGAGTATAATGTAGGATTCACTGCTGCGACTGCCAACGTAAGTCACTAACTAACAACCCAGTCAAGGTGCTCTTTTATCTTAGCAACATTATCCTCAGAGAGTAGGGCAGTCCCGGTGACCTCAATCGTCACTATAGCTGGAGCAGCCGCATAACGTGTCGTGACGCCATCGTCTGCCGGGCTGTACAGAGGCGATGTGCCCTGGTGCACCAAGCTGGCAAGTGGCGGAGAGGGAGAGGGAGATGAAGCAGAGAAATGCTGCAGCGTAGCGTTCGGTCCGTCATCCGGTGGAGGTGCTCGGTAGCCGGGGATGGCCGGATCACCGCCGTCGGATGTGGTGCCGGAGCACAAAACAAAATGGATGTCAGCATCGATCGATCCGGCTGCGCATTGGCGTACAGGCTGATACGGGTTCTCTGTGCCTTTGGCTGGCTCAGGTTCAAAGTATGCATCCCATGGACAGAACTTGCTCTTGGAGCATTGCATCGCACCACATTCGCGACCATTAGTTCCGTAGACCTTGACGCCCTCGTCCCATCCAGGACACCCTCGACCAGTATGATTTTTGAAAAAGGTATCAACAACGCCAGGGGTACTTGTTGCACAATCCACGAAAGAGATGTCATAGCTTATAAACCAGTCTTTTCGATCGCCGACATCACGTATGCTATACTCCATTTGGGTTTGCTTGCCCGATTTCGTCTGGGCTTCGAAGAGCTTTATACTTGTTCCACACTGACAGCCCCTCTCGGGAATGATGACAGGAAAAGATATTTCATGGCCGGCTTTGAGTGCAATTCCATTCTCAGGATTAGGATCGTCAAATGCAGTCGTATGGTATGCATAAAAGTCCTTGACACAGTAGTTCCTAACAAACACCTTACCTTGAGGAGCGTCGGACATTTCGTAGTGTGGGCCAACGCTGGAGTAGTATTCGGCCAATGTCTGTTCAATGAAAGCCATAAAGACAGCGAGAGCGAAGTCCATCATCGCGAACAACTCTCTAGAAGTTATTACAGGGCAGAAAGGAAAAAGGCACGGCAGAACGATATAAGAGTATAGAGTACATTTTTAGAACAGACCCCAAAACTGGTCTGCTCCTACTTCGGGACAACGGCATCTCTAAAGAAGTCCCTGTTTCGTAGTCGACTGGTTCTAGCCCAATTCTTGTATATAACACGACCGTATCTCAAGAAAGATCTGCTGTCCTGATTGAAAACAAGCTCCCACTCATTTTCAGTTGCGCAAGTCTGGAAATGCCGCCCTGCAAGCACTCCAGCTGGCTCGGCGCCAAGGGTGTCCGAGGGGAGCCAACCCTGATAGAGACAGACAGGCTGAGCGCCTTGCTTAGTCTCCTACACAACCTAGATACTCAGTATCCAATTTTCTTAGTCACCATCGGTGATTCAGAGAAGGGGGCGGCGCTGCGAACGCTGTTTGGCTTCAAAGCCTCGTCCAAGGGCAGACGCAGCATCGACAGTATTCATCTATACTTGGACTCATCAACCACGTTTACCGAACGGCCCTGGATTGTTGCAGAGGGAAGATCTCTCCAACTGATCCCGCACACAACCCAAACAGAGGCGGCAGGCCGTCCATGCCATCGCACAAACGTGCGGTCACTCCGACCTTGTGACGACCACATCGCGACCGATGTCTACGCACGGCTGTTACGGCAGTTCACAAATGTTATCTGTATCTTTG